TCTATACTAACATATAGATATTATATATTTATAATATTATATCTAAACTTATATATATATACACACGAGATATTTTACAAACTCAATTATTAATGTAAACAATACATGTCAATTAATTCAAACGTTTATAAAAATGATGAAAGTTTATTTATTATAATTTAGATATTTATGTAAAATTATCAAAGTTCATTTATTATGATCAACGTTTTATAGTATTGAAGATTATATTCATCAGACTAGATGAACAGTTGAGATTGATTAATATGATTTATACTAATCAAGGGTGTAGTTTTAGTTAAATACTTGTTCTAAAAATAGTCAAAGAAAAAGTTAGAAGTGTGAATGACGTAAACAACATAACTATGTTTATATTTACTAAAAGGATACTCGCGCAATGCAGCGAGATACATCTTGCTTTTAACATGTTCTTTTATTATTTTTCTCAGTCGATATTATAATATGGTCTTATGTGATTTGAAAAAGCGATGATATTTTTATTTTTGAATAAAATATAAATTTGAATATTACATAAAAATTTGACAATAATATATCGATACTGGTATCAAATTAACTATTTAAAATTTCTATTTTTGTGTAGTTTTTGATTAATTTTTTTATTATAATTTAATTTAATTAGTTTTAATAACGAATTAATTTATATATGGTTTAATAATATATTTTTCTTATAAAGATAATAATTAATTATTTTTTTAGAACTCGATAATTATCCTAATTATATTTTATATTTTTTATATTTTAAAATGAGATGTTTATTCTCTATTTGATTTATGTTTATCCGCAGTTAGTTACACGAATCCAAATATGGAGCTTTAATAAGTTGTACTTATGCATAATTACTTGTAATCTTGAATTTTAAGTAATATGCATCAATAAACAACACTTCATGCATAAAAAATGGTTTTTAAAAGTTTTTTATCAAACGCTTTATAATATAGTATAGATACAAACAAATACAAGATATGCATATATAACCATATAAATAATAAAAGCCTTTTGAAAACACATAAAATTTATCGTAATTTTTTTGTGTATTCAATAAAATAAAATGTTTATTTTAGAACCTTTATAAAACGTGAAATTTATAAAAGAAGAAAACAAAATTTTTTTATATGAATAAATAAAGTTTTTAGTGAATAATTGAGGTTTAAAACTATATCATAATTTATTTTTAAAGTTTATACCAAAGTCGATACTACTTCTGGCTCTAAGGTGGCTCTGCTTTTGACATTAATAATCAGACTTTTAAAATGAAACTGCCTCTATATCTATACTATATTATAAAGCATTTGACAAAAATTCTTAAAAACCATTTTTTATACACGAAGTACTGTTTATTGATGCATATTACTTAAAATTCAAGATTACAAATAAATTATGCGTAAGTATTACTTATTAAAGCTTTACATTTGAATTCATGTAACTAACTGCAGATAAATATAATCAAATACAGGATAAACATCTCATTTTAAAATATAAAATATCTAAAATATAATTATTATCTTTATAAAAAAATTATATTATTAAACCTAAATTAAATTCTTTCGTCATGTAAAATTAAATTATAATAAAGTATTTGAATTACAGAAATTGCACAAAACAATAACTTTTAAATAGTTAATTTAATACTAATATCCATATATTCTTTTTAAAATTTTATGATATTTTAGAATTTATATTTTATTCAAAAATAAAAACCCTATCGTTTTCTTAAAACCAAATAAAATCGTATTATATCGACATAGATAAATAATAAAACGAGACATTAAAATCAAGATATGTCTTGATGCATTGCATACTAAATAATAAATAATGCATAATATTTTTATATACCTATTATAATATCACAATTTATATAAATATCTATATGCATAATATATTTTATATATAACAAAATTTATTTTAAAAAATATATTTAATTTTGGTTCTAGTGGTTTTGGTGAAAATTATAAAATGGGTCTCAAAACTTCATTTATTCAAGAAACATCCTAAGGTTTGTATTTTATTCTGGATTTGGTCCCTTATATTAATACACTACAATAAAATTGGGTTTATAGAACACCCTCAATCTCTAAGCGTCCCAATATACTGCTTTATAAGATCAAAATATAAAACGTTCTATCTAAAAATGTTGTTATAAGTTTATATGACGCTTTTGAACGTCTTAACAAATTTTTTAGAACATTTTTAATGCAAAGTGTCACATTAGCAACTTTATAGAACACTTTTGAGAAAGTGTCCTATAAATCAATTTTTTATAGAACATTTGTTTTTATAGGCAGTTTTTCAAATAATGTCTTATAAAGTTGCTAATATGATGTTTTATATTAAACTTATTACAACTCATTTAGTTATGACGCTTTATTTTTTTGGTTCTATAAGCTAAGTCTTATAAAGAAGTCTATTAAAACGCTTAAAAATTGGGACTATCTTATAAACCCGATTTTATTGTAGTGACATATATCAATTTCTTTGTTAAGTATGATGACAAAATGACCATTTCACCCTTTGATATAGGTCTAAGCATAGATGACCAGGTCTTGATGTTTCTAGAAGCCATGATCGGCCCGTAGAGGTGGTCACGCTCAGAGTACATAACTTTTGCTACAAGCCTTCATTTCAAACCCATAATATACTGAATTTGAAGCTTCGAATCAGGGACACACCCTGGATAAGACACAAGGAGCCTATTCAAATTTGAGACACTTATCTTTTTTCGCCAGTTTTCTCACTTTTTGGGTTTTTAGTGTTTGACCCATCAGCTTTTTCAAGCACTGTTACTTTTTGAAAACCTACTAATTATGTGCCGATTGTAGCATTTGGATGGTCGCAATATGTAGGATTTATGGACAATGAATCTTAGTTAGTTGCAATGTATTCGTCTATACTATAAAACAAACAGGTATCTTACATAGAAATTTACTGCGAAAATGTGGGTTTTGAACGGATTTTCGACAAAAAATCTCAACATAAATAAAAAAGTATATGTATTAATATCTTGAATATGGCTAAGATGGATCTCCGACGAATTCCAAAAAAAGAGAAAAATCATATTTCCTTGAAAATGTTTTTGATGGATTTCTGAAGGATGAATAATTTATCGATTGTCGCTCAAAATTAAAAGCGGACGAAAATTTTAGAAGAACTTCCCACGGAATCTTTAATGTCAAATACCGAAACATGAGTTGGTGTTTATGATTAGGTGCCAAAGTCACATTATATCGTAATTTACCATCACAACCCTTGATAAAAATGTGAAATCACATCAAAGTGATAATGGTTCCATGCATGTTCAAAGTGGTAGGTTAGGGATTGTGAGAGTAGAAGTGTTTTGATCACTAAAATTTCATAAAAAAAACTACAAGATTTATATATATACTAGTTGTGTACCCGTGCAACGCGGCAGGAGCCATGTATTTTAACGATTTTGAAGTTCCACTGGTTTTATAAGATAAGATTTAACGATGATATATGTTACACTTGGTTCCAATTACAGACTATCGATGAAAAAAATTGTATGACAGTTTAAAATCCAATATATTTAAAATCCAACATATTTAAACGACTCCATAAATATGTTCGATTTACACCAAGAGCAAAGAACCAAGAAACTTGAGTTTTAAGATAAATACTCAAAACCAATAAATAAAACTACAAATTTGACAGATCATAAGCCATAAAAAATACCAAAAAAGATGGATTTTAGAATGAAATTTCAACTGCTTACCCTCTTTCTTGTCCAGAAACTCAGATTAAGGTTGAATTAATGCATGTATATATATATTTCAAAAAAACCCAAGAACATATTAATTCAAAACATATTATACAGTGCAATTTGGACAGCCTAATCTCAAAATATATAATATATATANAAGTATAAATCGTAAATATTAAAAATATTTTTTCACAGTATATATAATATATAATAATATAATTAAGTCAAAAACTATTCAATATTGGACTCATTTCGAAGTTATTAACGAGACGATTATAATGGTGTAACTTATTAAAATAAAAATGTATTTTTTAAACATGTTTTAATTGATATATAATTATGTATGTTAATTTGATAAAGGTTTAAAATTAAACATTTAAAAGTAAAGCGCGTAAAGTAAATTAATTAACTAATTATAGGGATATAAAGTGTAAATTTAAAATTATAATTTAAAAAAAAATCGTGTATGTGAGAAGAGGAGGGGGTGAAAAAGTGATGTAAAGGTAATATAGATAAGGGTAACTTGATCATTTAATATTTTAAGATTTTAAGACTTTTGCTAAATTTGCTTAATAAGATAGTATATATATATATATACATTACATTTGGTCATAAAAAGACAAAATACCAATAAAAATCGCCCTCAATCGATATCTTATTAAATCATTATTGATATGTCAAATTGTTGCGTCATAAATCATCTTCACTAAAAAACGAAATAAAGGTCAAAACCTTTTTTTAGCACGATTTACACATTTTTAAATATAATATCTAATTTTTGACGACAAAAATAGTATACACCTGTAACCCACCTTTTCTTGATGAATTCTTTTTGGATATTTAATTATGGGGTGGGCTAAATGCACATTTATGGACTGCTTGATGCATTCTTATTCATGAATTTCTCCCTCGTACACATTAACATCAATATATGTTTTTTACATTTTCAATGCTTGAATGACCTGATTCTGATATTAAAGGGGTGGCATTAACACTCCCCTTAATCATGGACTGTGGCAACTTCACTGCAGAGGACTTGGATCTAAGGAAGCAAACGCCAATAGCTCTGAATTGCCTTGTAGAATCTTCATCTCTTCTTCATCCAAATTCACCCATGCTTCTATTCCTTCCCCACACTTTGTGTCTATCAGATTGATGATATTCATGACCACTGGGTAGCCATGGCCGACAATACCACTCACCCAACTCGGTTCTCCCCAACCAAAATCAACATCGTAGAACCCCATCTTGCACCAGCTTGCAAACAGGTAGTTGTCCATGGTCCCTTCGGAGCTAATCTCTCCCATTTCTTTGATGGATTCCACCATTGCAGCATACCCTTTATCGCCTTGCGCTTTGTTCGCAAACTCGATATCAATCTTCGAAATACATTTGCGCACCTTCTTCACCAAACCATCAAATGTAGTTTCGGAGTCAGCTGGGCAGTCTGCAGTTGTGACCCAAAGCACGTTACAGATGGAATCTTTCGATAACGTCGATGCGAGTTTCCTACGAAGGTTTACAGGGAGCGTAAAGCGCGAAGGCTTCTGGAAGCCACAGGTTGTTTTGGAGGCTGCCATTGCACACTTCCATATCAGAGCAGATACCACCTCAACCCGTGTAGGGTTTTGGGCTCCATTTCTAGTTGCTTCAGCCTTTAGTGTGGATATGGCATCGGCATCGAATACGAATCTTTTCGTGGTACACGACACGCGTTCCTTTAACCACGGCGAAGACATGGCCATTAATGATTCTCTGAGCCACAAGTCTTTTGCTGGGAAGAGAGAAGGTGCGTTTAAGTTGGGATACAGAACTTCTTTAGCTCCACGAGCCATGTTGGTCCATCCTTTTAGGAAAGTGTAGGTTGCAGCCGCATCGACGATCTTGTGCGAAACACACAAGCCGATAGCAATCCCACCACATTCGAAAACGTTCACTTGAACATTTGTGACACGAGCACCTGCACCAGACCCCTCTAAACTCGGTTGAAACGGCAAAAACCTGTTGATCAAACTGTGGTCAGGCTGCTTCAGGAACTCGTCGAGGCGAAGATGCACCAAAGCTATGGCATAATAAGCACCAACATCGTTACAATCAATGGAAAGATCATCCTTTACAGTTCCTGCAAGTGGATAAAACTGAGTCAAGGTTTTGGATAGAGACTGCTTGAGAGCTAATGACTTTTGTTGAGCTTGGAGAATGCTGTCGCCATTGCTGTTAGGGTAGTACAGGATGATTGGTACATAAGGATTAACAACAAGCTGATCTAAAACACAGAGCTTGAATGATTTCAAGTGGGGTGGTGTTGGGGAAGATGGTTTGATGCTCTCTTTGGAAATGACTTCAATGTCCATGGCGTCAAACTTTGATGTATGGCTAGAATGGATGGTCATTGCAAAAGATATGGCGCTCCAAAGGCCAGTTTATAGTATGAGAATATATATATATATAGAGAGAGAGAGATGAGCGATCAAATGAAAACCACTCCAATTTGTAAAAACCATAAAAACTACAATCATCCGTCGTTAATCTTATGAAATTTTTTCATGAAATTGTTAATCTTCTGAAATTGTTTTATATAATACTTTTTTTGATGAAGTTGTTTCATATGTGGTTATGAAATTGTTTCATATACTATTTGATGAAATTTTAATGAAACTGTTTCATGTATTTCTCTAAAATTAAAATAATAAAGATGATAATATCCATGATTAACACCCTCCACAATAAAAATGGTTAATCAACCTCTCATAATTACAAAAAAATAAACAAAATGAAAATTTATGATTGGTTGAATGAGATTTTCACGGTTTTTACAAATTGAGTGGTTTTTATTTGAATTCACCCATATATATATATATATATATATATATATATATATATATATATATATGATAAGCATAATGCTAAATACTTGGTAGTTGGTACGTCTTGGACAAAATCACAAGGTTTATGAATTATTTTACATATGTTATTTAACAAAAACATGTTACCATACAAACCTAAAACAAGAAAGCAAAAGTAATCATATTTATATATATATATATATATATATATATATGTCTAATCAAATGAGAACTAATTAGTTTTTGGTAACCTTGAGGTCCATCTCAACCACAAATCAATAAATAATTAGGAAATTTATAATTTTGGTAATTGTAAATTAAAATTTTAATGCAAGAATATTTTATGTATTTTAAAACTCTCTTCTCTTCTCTCTCTGTCCCCCGTCCTCTGTCCTCCTGCCATCTTCCTCCGATGATACCACGGTGGTATCACAATGTATCTTATATGTGTTTATCACCCTGGGGTCAATACTTTTAGGTATCACAGAGGTATCACCGGAGGACGGTGGCCAGAGGACGGGAGACGGAGAGAGAATAGATGAGAGAAAATACCTAAAATGTCCTTGTATTAAAAATTTAATTCAAAATTACAAAAAATATAAATTTCCTAATTCATCTATTGATTTGTGGTTGAAATTGGATCTCACGGTTACCACAAATTAGTCAGTTCTCTCTTGAATGACCCTATATATATATATATATATATATATATATATATATAGGGTTGGGTTCACGTGAGATCAAGAGATTTTCGTGAGACCCGTAAGACAAATTTATGGTCATTGATCAACTTTATAAGCTAATGATCTAAATTTGCACGGTGACAATTTTATAATTATCGACCTCTGTGTGATACCCAAACACATATAAGATGCATTGTGATAACATCTCCGATCGATCACACAAACGACCTTCGTGTGATACCCAAACACATATAAGATG